GTGGGGGGAGGGGGCTACACTGTAAATTTTGGACATAATGTGTCAATATGGGATAGGTGATACTGTCAAAGAGCAAGCGATTTTCAAATGAACAGCTGTTCGTTCGCCTATTACACATTTTCAGATTATAAAAATAAAACCCAAAGGAAATTTTTTCCTTTTCATCTTACTATATTTATTAAAGTAAGAATTATATAATCTGTTATTTAATAGAAAAAATATAAAAAGAATATGTTGCTGGTATTAAGTTTTTTTTTCTTTAATTTAAAACAAGTAAATTGCATTGCCTAAAGACAAGTATGCTTTAAATGAACAGTTATAAAATTTACAAACTATTTACAGCTGACTCAGCTGTAAATATATTTTCCTCAGGGATTTTTCCTAGTCTAATTCCTTATTTTCACAGCAAAGGCAGGGTAAGATATCGTTAGTAATGTTCTAAAGTAGTTTACAAGTGTCTGGCTAGTGATCTGTCCTATAAATACAAACACACACACACATATATGCTAAATACTTATCATTAGAAACTGGAAAACATCTGTACTGTTCTTACCTTAGCCCTATCTCAAATAAGCATCCTGAGTAGGATGCTTCTGATTAGTATTTTGCTTAACATAGTAATATATATAAGGAGTGCTCGGCACTTAAAACAATTCTTTCAATGCTATGATATCTATGATATTAAGTTGGTGCAGACTTCTAAGTAAACCACCTCCTAATCTCTCCTGAAACAACAGAAAAAGGATTTAGGAAAAAAGACATAAACTCATAAGAATGAGGAGGATAGGAAAGGAAACAAGAGCAATAAAATTTTGAAAGCAAAAAAGAAGGGCACAAAGTCTATTTAAAATCTCATCCCCAATTCTGCAAAGTTAGTTTCTTCTCTGGAATAGGTAGAAGATATGTCTGGATGGAGGGGGACCAGCACAGTGAGAACAAGGAGAAGAAATGAATACTTGCACATTAGATACTGAGATACCATCCAGCCCCTGCCCACACTCTAGAACTACAGTTCTCAGTTCTCAGAATGCTGGTAGCCAGGACTTTGTCCTCCTTGCAGGAGAATCTGACCAACCAAGAGGAACATCTAAGAGATACTGATACTTGGAACTTCACCAAATACACAGTTCAGCCAGATCACCACACACTGATTGAAGACCTCTGCCCATATCTCAGAGCTTCCATTCAGCTTTTTAAATCCCTCACTCTCAAACATGAACAAATAACCAGGGCAGCAGGAAAATATTATACAAAACTTTTTTTTCTCTCCAAGAAAATGTCCCAGCACTGAAGAACCTGAGTTTCTAGATTCAAAGGGCCCACCAAGTAGCCAGCATTGCTGTCTAGATTTCTAGCTTGAAAATGGACCTACAATATGGCACATACTCATCCAGTTCAAGATTCCCTTGGACTGTCCTCTTTCTTGGTTTACTCTGTTAGTTTAGAGGAGCAATCCTCTAGTAACCGACCTTCTGAGGAAAAGCAGAGTGTAAGAGTAATTTTATGTTTTAGAACTTGCACGTTTGAAAATATTTTTACTATACCCTCACACTGAGTGAATATGTCTCTGAAAACTGTAGAAAACTGAAGGTTCTTATAATTCTTATCCAACATGAAGGTGAGGCTAAGGGAATCCTCAGGATAATGGTGAAGGGAGCTCCCAGGATGATGACTATGTACCAGGATTAGAAGGAAACTAGTCCAGAATGGAGCAGGGCAGAAAGACCTATGAGAGACTTCTTAAGAAGGTAAAAATTAGTATCACATTTGATCTATGGAAAGATCTTGAAAAGAGATTTAGGCAACTGGCAAAGAACTGGGGGTTAATTAGTGATAACTACATAGAAAACAAAAGCGACAACTCCACGGAAAAGGGCAGGATATGTAACTGTGCATACTACCCAGCTCTTGACTAAGCTACAGACAGCATTTACACAGTCACAACAATGGAAATGTTGAACAGTGACTTAACCAAAATTACAATATAACCTTATAGGTAGGGAGGGTGTAGGGATGGGAAAGGTACATATGTCTTGCGGCGGGTGGTGAAGAGAGCTGAATTCTTATTTTCTATAGTGGGCTATCAAAAGATAACACCTAACACTAAAAAGTCAAGAAGCAGCACTACACACAGAGTTTTATATCAAATAATCAGCTAAAAAGGCAAAAGTGGTTGTCTCAGGAGAGGTGAAAATGGGGCGGAGGGGAGACAATGGGATAGC